ATCGACTGCCAGGCCGAAGTAATCACCGTAGCTGCCAGAAAAATCCGTATTCAGACCATGATGATGATACAGCATTGACATCACACCATCGAAGCGGAAGCCATCAAAACCATACTCATCAATCCACCAGCGGAGATTAGATAAGAGGAAACGCAACACTTCCAGCCTATTTTATCAGAAAAACACTTGGCGATTTAGACAGAGGCTTTCCGCAGTTGTGAAGCAGATATAAATCGGAAATGTGATATATTCACTAAGGAGGTTGGATTTCTTGGTAAGATCTGTCGTTGTCGTAGAGAATGCCAAAAACGATTTTAAAACTAGGAAAGTTGTAGGAACAGATTTAAATCGAGATAATTTTCAGAAGGTGAGCGCGACCTAAAGGCAAATTGCATCTCTGCAAAGGAGAGAAATGGTGAAGGAATTAAGAAAGTATAAGTTATACAGCAGCAGCAGGAGACAAATTATAAAGATAATTGCAACATGGATCAAAAAATTCTATACGACAACCAAAACAAGCCCACTTTCGAAAACGTAGGATTGCAACTCACTCAGTGTAGTTAAACAGACGAGAATCCCATAAGTCATGAACGCCGCGGCCATGATCATGGAAGTAACAAGCATTTGTGCCATCAAACTGATTAAGTCCATCTGCAGTGTTTTTCGACGCATGACTGTGAATGATATCCAGAAGAACAGTCAAGCCTAAGCGGTGAGCTTCGTCAATGAGTTCACGAAGCTCGTCTGGAGTGCCATAACGACTAAACAAGTATAGACTAAATCCAAAACTTTTACCTGGAAGCAGCGAAAAAATTAGTCACTTGATATCCAAACGAAGCATAGTAGACATGTTCCATGACTGCCATTAGCTGAATGCTATTGTAGCCTGGAGTACGGGATGAACACGTGAAATACCGTTACCCAAGTCGACAATACGGGGCAAAATATTGTCTTTGAACTCAAGATAAGTACCGACCCTCAGTTCTTCTGTCGCAATTCCCACATGACACTCGTAGATGCGCAGTGCTTTTGGTTTTGGCGGGTGCGGATGTTTCATTTGATATCGCTGAAATTATGAGGACTAAAATAAAAAAGTACCGCTGGCGGATTGTAGAACACGTGATCGTAGATAATATTGTCCCCAAAGTTTTTAACATATGAGGCCCAGGGACTTAGTCGATCATATTGTCGAGAATCAGGGCCCACGACAAGAAGCTACAAAATGCTAGAAAGAAAAAACAGACCTTTATTTTTGAAAGATGTTCGATTCGGGGTTTTCCATCTTCTGTAGGAGGAATAGTAAGTTCCCACTTCCCGTATTCGAGTCGCTTAAATGGATACTCCTTTTCCTTCCAACCATCTTACAGGGAATTGCCAGAAGAAACATGACTTACTGAAGTCACCACGGAGGTATAATTCTTTAGCGCCTGGCGCCCACTCTTTGCAGTAGACAGAACCATCCGGCTTAACATGGACACCAAACTCATTGTAACCTTGTGTAAAATGATCAATTCCGCCAACGCTGTCAATCCACTTCTGGTAATCCAAAAAACATTTATATCTAAAACAGAGTCAAAACAAAATTAAAAGATGCCTCCGTTTGATTTCGTAAATATAAGGTTCAAGCCATGAGTCCATGTGGATTAAGTTGCCAAGATTTGGAACTTTAACAGCATTGATTTCCTCAGGCGTGTAAAACATACTAAGAAAAGAAACCGGGGACAGGAGCAACTGCCGAACAAACGGGACGAAGCAACGGGAAAACTGGATCGATTTGACGCGAGTACTCTAAGGAATTAAAACAAACGTTTAACATCGATGGTCGTGACTTAGTAGTATGGGATTGTTTACCGGCAATCCGATCGTTAACTTACAGTGTTCCCTGTTAGAGAATTTAAAAAAGATGTCTAATCGGACTGTTGAGATCCACATAGCGTAATTTTTTTCTGAAAGTTATTGCGAAACTTCTAGATAGATTTCGAAGATTTAGAAGAAACTCGTCGGTGAGTTGACTTAACCACTCTCCATGCTTTTCTACACGCACTTCGAGGCCGGATGCCTGTCAGCCGCCTGGAAATCAGCGTAGGTTGCGGGGCTGTAAAAGGACGGAATTCGAGTCTGTGCAAAAAAATACAGATCGGGCAGCCACACCTCATTTTGCTGTAAAATTATGGGGAAAATACATAAGAAACAACTGACGCAGTTCCTTTATCGAAACCATACGCTTTTCGATTTTCAACAGGGATTCTGCAAAGACAAGTTTACTGCCTGGAATACTGGATTTAGGTTATTGATTGAGGGAATATGGTGCATGTTGTCTATATCAACTTCAAGAAGGCCTTCGGTGGTGTGCCTCACCATTGCCTTCTGTACAAACTCAGCTGTATAGGAAGGCGAAGCAAGCCTCTGATGTGGAGTCAAAGTTTTTTACCCGACCGCTCTCAAGCTGTCATGTCAGTTACCAGCAGTCTGCAGAGGTTGTCGCTAAGAGTGGTGTTCCCCAAGGCTCCGTTCTTGGCCCCACTCTGTTCGTTACATACGTCAAAGACTGTGTAAACGAACTCGATTGCGAAGTCACAATGTCTGCTTATGAGATAAAGATCTGGAGTACTGTGTGAAATGAAGTTGACGAAGCGCGATTGCAGACAAACCTAGACCGTCTTGAGCAATGGTCAAACGACTAGCTTCTACCGTTTAACGTAAACAGGTGTAACTTCTTACGGGTCGTCGGAACCAGTGCTCTTAACCGCATGATCTACCGTCGGACTGGCTAACCACTGCAAGAAGTTGACGACCAGAAGGACTTGCGTGTGCGGATCACAACCCCGCTCAAGCCTTTGCTGCACTGCTCAAAGGTAGCTAAGTCGGCGATATCCTCCTATACTTCGTCAAACGGGCGTTCTCTTCTTCTGACGAAGACTGCTTCACCAAGATTTTTCGAACTTTTACGCAGTCGACTCTGCAGTTAACCGTCCAACGATTGAGACCCTTGACCTCTAAAGACCTTAGCATACTTGAAGAAGTTCAACGGCGGCCACCAAACTTGTAACTGGAAAGGAGTCACTACCCTACGAAACACGATGAGCTAATCTTGATCCCTTTCCTTCGAATTATAGGCAGCTACGAGGTGACCAAATAAAACTTTCCGCATCGCGCGCAATCAGGGCTGCTGCCTCGTATCAGGATTCGTCTTCGATTTGTCGACTACGACTCAGGTGAGAGGTCATTCACTCAAACGATGCGTGACTGATGCCCGGCTAGATGAACGGAAGTTCCCCCAACAGATTGGTTGCAGCTTGGAATGCTTTGCCTGAGGACGTTGTTATGTCTGGATCCGTAGCAACATTTAAAAGGAAGCTAGACCAACATTGCAATGCGCTCCACAATGCCACCCGAGCGCAACCGCTTTGATAGCCTACGTTAATCACCTAAGTCTATCACGATACTACTACCGATTTTTGAGTAACATTTATTTGTATAATTTAATAATGTTTGAAGCATGCGCACACCACTGCTCGCATGCACCAAGATGTTTGCAGACTACGAATCGGATTATTTTCCCTGTAGCTTAGGTGTGCTTCAAATAACTACCGTATTAATCACCAAACCGAGTTCATATGCCCTCAACCACTGTTGATGCATAAAATGCTGTGTTCATCTGCAGAGTTTTTAATAATTTCCTTGTATTTTTTCCTGTGACTCATTTTTCACTTCTTTCGCATACTTTCTCTGCGTGCAATACACAGGGATTTTAAAGGTGCGCACCTACGTTCTGTCAAATTAACTGAATGCAGATGACTTCTTCAGTCCTGTCACATCATTCCGTAATGAACAGCCGCATTAGCCATCTACTTGGTTCTTAACAAATCCTTCCAGGGGGTGCCGAGTAGACGTCTTTTAACAAAACTAAATGCCCTCAGCATTCGGCCTCTTCTATTGGACTTTATTGAGCCCAGCATATTCAACCGCTAAAGAAGGGCCATAGTTAATAATTGCTACTCAACGTCTCACTCAGTCACGAGCGGTGTACTTCAAAGACCGGGCTCAGGGTCCTCCACTCTCCCTTCTTTATAGGAACGGTGTTTAAACGGAGATTAGAAATTCCCAAACGTCCATTTATGGTGCTGACCTTAAGTGCACACAAAGACTGACGGTGAGCAGAACCAAAAACCTGATGTCTTCCATGTTTTGCCCTACATAAGGAAAGCCTCCGAAGCCACTGAGCGCATGCTAAGATCACTCAAAGTGAACGTTGGACACCGGCCGGGAGCCACTATCCACCGCTTAATCACGCAGCCCAAGGGTAGGCTACCTTCTGTGGACACGTCAGGCTTCATTTACGGAGTCAATTGTCTAGTCTGTCAAACAGGTCGCGAGTTCGAGGCTCGGGTGCTCCACACTTCGGGCTTGGGTATGGCTGGCTGACGACGGCTAATAAGCCAGAAATGGCCATTCCAGTCTCCCTTGTCTTTGTCGGTAATACCATCCTGCCTATATATCATGCGCCGCTGCGCGGCTGCTGGTTGGGCTCGAGAGAGAGCCCTTAAGGCACAACGGAACGAGTGAGTTCCGTATGAACGATCGGTGAGCGCCCCCTTCCATTGTATATTCCCGATCGAAAACCGACAGGGCAACGGGCTCGTGGCCCAGTGGTCAGAGGCGTGGACTTCTAACTAACAGGTCGCGAGTTCGAGCCTCGGGTGTTCCACACTTCGAGGTTGGGTATGACTGGCTGACGCCGGCTAACAATTCAAAAATTGCCATTACAATCTTCTTTGTCTTTGTCGGTAATAACATCCTGCATATACATATTATGACATTGGGCGCTCATTGATCTGGTTACGGAACACGCTCGTTCCTTTGTGCCTTGGGGCTCATACTAGTTCCCGGGTTCGAATCTCAAGTGATCCACACTTGGGGTTGGGTATGACTGGCTGGTGACGGCTAATAAGCCACTTCAGTCCCCTTGTCCTTGTCGGTAATAACACTCTATCTTTATCATGCGCCGCTGGGCGTCAAGCAAGCTCACGCACTTCAAGAGTTTGATGTCGAGCGTCCCTTGTCAGCAGGCACTGTCCGCGAAAGCCACTGAAACCGCGATGGCACGCTTCTACGGCCTTCCCAAGGTACACAAGCCAGGAGTGCCCCTCCGCCCAATCGTTTCTTTACGTGGCACACCAACTTTTGGCCTAACAAAGTGGCTGTACCAACGACTTTGTTCCCTCTTCAAAGACTCAGAGTGGACAGTGAAGTCAGCTGAAAAGTTTTTGGCTCGCATCCGACATCGCAGAGTGGAGACAGAGGAGGTGATAGTGTCCTTGGACGTGGTCTCACTGTTCACTTCTATCCCGCCCGACCTGACCATCGACACTCTCGACGGACTTCTCCGAAAAAAATACGACGAGACCGACCAACGGCTTAAACGAGTGCACATCATCGAGCTCCTAGAAATGTGTCTTAAGACTTTCTTCACATTTAACGGCCAAGTGTACGAGCCGAAAAAGGGAACGCTAATGAGTTCACCTCTGTCTGGCCTAATTTCCGAAGCGGTTTTGCAGAGGCTGGAGCGTCTGGTATTCAGCTCGTACCCTCCGAAGTTCTGGGCCAGATATGTCGACGACACATTCGTCATAATAAAGAGGAACGACGTGCAAAATTTCATGGCACTTTTGAATTCGATATTTCCCGGCATACAGTTCACCATGGAAGAAGATGCCGACAATCGCTTGCCCTTCCTAGACGTAAAAGTTACAAAACTGGCAGACGGGAATATAAAGACGACGGTCTATCGTAAGGCGGCTAACACTAGGCGCATTCTCCACTTCAGAAGCAACCACCCCGTCGGTCACAAACGCAGTTGTGTCAGAACCCTTTTCCAACGCGCCCAAACACACTGCAGCGACGAAGATGACAGGAAGAAGGAGGTGAAGTACTTACGTGCTCTATTTGAAGCCAACGGTTACCCGAAGTCGTTCATATGCAAGTGTCTCAGGAAGTCTCACTCGGGGCGGTCGAACGAGGAGAAACCAAAGCTCTGGCTCTCGATCCCCTATGTGAAGAACGTTTCAGAGGCAACTTCAAGAATTCTGAAACCCTTTGGAATTATTGTGGCCCATAAACCAGCATCAACAATCAGACAGCAAATCATGAGGCCCAAAGACCCGCTCCCGGTGACAGAACAATCAGCGGTGGTCTACAGCCTACCATGCTAAGATTGCGATGCCAGGTATGTTGGTGAAACGGGAAAACGCCTCGGCACAAGATTGCATGAGCATCAGCTTGCAACTAACCGCAAGGATAAGCTGTCGTTGGTGTATGGCCACACACTAGAGCGGAATCACTGTTTTGCCATCGAGAAAACGAGTGTGATTGGCCGAGCCAATGATAAAATGGCCAGACTAATGCTGGAAAGTTGGTCCTCGACTGGCACACTCAACCGGGCCATAGACCTACATCCAGCCTACCAGGCGCTCCGCGCAAGACTCGAGTCAGTCTAGGCAAGGCCGATGGCACGGATGAAAAGAGTCACACGGGGTCGACCACCGACGCTCGCGGAGAAAAGAGAAGGCGCTGACCGAATGTCACGTGACCGGCGTGGCACACCGTCTCACGGACGTACACGCGAGGCCGGAAACACCACGCCTGAGGAACAAAGATCGATCAGCCCGCCGTCTGACGAGGGAAAGGCGAACGGGCACGCCGACGCAGCGGCAACCACGTTAGGCGTGAGGGGGACACAAGCCACGTCAGTCCGTCAATGACTGAGATCAGGGAGGCGACAATCAGCCAACGGAAAGCAGGCTAGTCAACAAACGTGCGCTGTGCACGGTTATAATACGAGGCAGGCGGCAAGGCTAAACAGATCAAGGCCAGCAGGAAACGTCAGCGCACGGCTCTGATGATGGAAACGAGTGTGTTTCCGAAACGTCAGTCTGAATACAACCTGGTCCATGAAATCGATTTCTCTTCTTCGTCTTCCTCGAGGATGATATACACGATACATATTTATATATTACGACAAATGGGCGCTCACTGACCAGGTTACGGAACATGCTCGTTTCGTTGTGCCTTGGGGCTCATACTAGAAACCTCGCAGGCAGTCGCACACCGGCATGTTCCGTAACCTGGTCGATGAACGCCCATCTGTCATAATTGATTTTACGATCGCATCCGACAGGACAGTGGACCCCTGGCTCAATGTTAATGTCAAACTCCATGACAAAATATCCCGGGTTCGAATCCCAAGTCACCCTCACTTGGTGTTGGATATGATTGGCTGATGATGACTAATAAGCCAGTAACGGCCATTTCGGTCTCCCCTGTCCTCGTCGATACCATTTCATCTACTTCTACTAGCAGTCTCTGTGGGACTGCCTGCGAGGCTTCTAGTTTGAGCCCCAAGGTACAACGGAAAGGGCATTTTCCGTGACATGATCAGTGAGCGCCCATCTGTCATAATAGATATTCCAGATCATAACCGACAAGAAGACGGACCCATGGCTCAATGGTAGAGTGTGAAAATCCATGACCAAAAATCGTGCGTTTGAATCCTTGGTGCACCACGCTTGGGGTTGAATGTACAAAGA